ATATATATAGCCTGTCATAAATATATTATCAGAGATTTCATTGTCAGCTACGATTGTACTTTGCCTACCCACATACACTTGCGTATTGTTATTATCAAGCAGAAAGGGGATAAATAAGGTTCAAATATAGCCATCTAAGAAGCTATTAGAGCTCAGCAACAACGCGAAAACTAGGATAGCTTTAATGGCTTTATCTTTCATTATTTGGGGGGGGGGGTAACGCTAAAAACAAATAAAAAATCAGGTCTTTCGAAGTGCTGGAACATTATGTAGAGATCTTACTAACACTTAAATACTCTGAAAAAAATTGTTTTGAATTAAATATAACTTGTGGCATTAAATCTAGATTACCGACCTGTTTACTTACCGTTTTCTACCGGTGTGATTCATACATTGTATTGTACTAAGGAACTGCTTTTGCCTATTACAGTGTACAGTGTACAGTGTAAAAAAATGACTAAAATATTGCGAGAAATATCTTATTTTCAGTGCAAAATATAGAATAAATCCCACCAGTAATTACTGGGATTAATTGCAGTACTGACTGTATTTTTGTTTCCATTCTTTGTGTGATCCATATACTACTAGCGATTCTGTAACAAAGTCAACGAATATGGTGCATAAATCACTTATAAAAATGGGCTTAGAAAGCCTATGTGAGATATGGACCCCATCGATAAATATTGTGTTAAGAAAAGAAAAGCACAAGGTTCAAGTCAAACTCCATTGCATATGAACACACCGTACGAATGGCAAAATAATACTGAAAAACAAACATACATGAAAGGAAGTTTAAAACATTATAGTTTTAAGAGGTTGTCAATACATAATGTTTAACATAAGTTGTTTATACACCATTTTTTAGCTTTTACTTTGACATACATATAAAATGAAATCTTGAAACGTAACATGTTTCCTGGTTTCAGCTTTATGAATTTTCGGGAAAACCTTTCCAAAGTGTTTTGATGAAGAAAAAAATACGATATAACTACAGATATATTCAACATACGTATTTATCACACTATGAGTATTTCAAGCAGGTCACTATTCAAGCCATATTTAGCTCGAAGGATACCACAGGCCTGCGAAATTAAACTTCATAAAAGATGTTTTGGTTTTAATAACGGATTTTCCATAATTCAGCTATGCAGATTTGGAAAATAATATTAATTTTTCTCTATCACGTAAGGATTTTTTAAAAATCGAAAAAGAAAGAAAAAAACTCTTATTTAGATCTAAATTATTATTTCAATTCTACCATAATGAACAATTTT